TGATTGGAATGTTCCATTCTCTTTTTATTGTTTTGAAAATCCCTCTGTTTTCCATGTCATCCAGTCATGATCCAATGATCAGAATGTTCCATTGTTTCTTCATTGTTTTGAAAATCCCACTGTTCTCCATGCCATCCAGTCATGATTCAGTGATCAGAATGTTCTATTGTCTTTTCATTGTTTTAAAAAGCCCACCGTTCTCCATCAGTCACTCATTTTATTGACTAAAAGGAGCCTATTAAAAAACGCAGAGGGAATCAGCTAATATCAAATGTGAGGCATGCTAGTAACCCCCACCTGTTTGCAGGCAAATGTGGACTTCAATGTTCCCTTATGAGCAATATCTTTCAAAATTGAAGCAAAAGGAGTGACTCCAATTCCTCCTCCTACCAACACTGACACTTCATAACGATACCAATCTTGATGGCCTTCACCAAATGGTCCATCTAAATATAACTGAGAGGAAAAACGTGAATGAGTATACCACTCCATGCAGTTAGCTTAAAGTTATAAGATCGGGTACGATGTAATAATTGGTGACTGGAAGTTCTACTCCAGGACCAAAAATCGCGTTATTTATTATTATTATTATTATTAAGAACTTTATTAGCATGACCTTAACTAATTACAGGTATTGCTAAAGTACATTACATAGTAAAGATTATAAGAGTAACAATAACATAAACAAATTGTGACTACGGAGTAGTTCATATACCTAATAGATTGTTTTCGTGAATAGATAATTGAGTAACACCACATGCTATGGGCTTTGTATCTTAAGGCATTTGTCACTGACTTTAAAACATTTTGCAATAAAATTTGAAAATAGATTTGTTAATGCTGGGTCTGTGTTTGAAATTATATGTGTCAACAAATCTTCTCTTGAATCTTTAGGTAGATTCATTTGAAAGAAAGTTTGTAGTATATTATTGGAGTTGTTTCTTATATTTTGATATTTTTGACATTCAAAAGCAAAGTGAAATTCATTTTCGATGGAGTTCAGATTGCAATGTCTGCATATTCTTTCTTCTTTCGGTATTTGTTGGTATCGACCATATTCAATTAGTAATTTGTGATTACTTATCCGGAGTTTTGTGTAGAGTCGTCTTTGACATGGGTTTTTATTGTGGTTAGATATTCTTCCAACGCCTTAAATCGCCCAAAGTCACCGATTTAAGGTGACTTGTCTTTTAAGGTCTGGTACTTGTTTGTTTGCCACCAAATATCACGTATGAATTCTCGCTATCCGTGAACGTTCTTGGTGGTATGGCCAGTAGAGAAAGAGACGTGCGATTATGATTGTATTTGTATGCCTCTTCACACGCTGATTCTGCATGTGTTGCGCTTGTTCCAGCTGCTAGTTTCATGCAAGTTAACGAATGAATACCTTTCAGAGAGGTGTGCTTACAGATTATGTACAGGTTGAGTCTGATGTTTGTAGCAGATCAAGTACACAGCAATAATCATTGGAATACCAGTGACGTACAGCTAAGAATCTTGAACAGATAATTCGCTTGCTAAGAAACCAGCACATGTGGTGTCGTGGTCAACACGCTTGCCTTTGAAGCTAGGAGTCGACCCGGGTTCAATCCGTGGTCGGACCTCTACTCAAGTTCTTAAAATAACTGAGGAGAAAGGGCTATCTTTATATTGACATCAGTAAATGGTTAGACTTTCGCGTCTTCTCGGATAAGGGCGTTAAATCGTAGGTACCTCGGATCCCCAATTGGGCGATAGCCTGTTGGGAAATTCGATCACCAAAGAGTGAGACACTCGATAAACTCAAATCTAAAGCAAACTAAACCTATACTGATATTTGCTACGTTGGTGTAATGTACTCAGGTGAATAAGATGCTTGTGTGATGTTACTCTGAGTGTATATCCACACCGGGCAGGCTTGAAAAATATGCCTGGCCACGGTGGGAATCGAACCTACGACCTTTGGATACCAGTCCAAAGGTCGTAGGTTCGATTCCCACCGTGGCCAGGCATATTTTTCAAGCCTGCCCGGTGTGGATATACACTCAGAGTAACACCACACAAGCATAAACCTATACTATTGCTTATTATTTTGAATAGTTCCGTTAGTTCTAAACGGTTCTCCCTAGAGCACAGCCTGACACCAACGTTACAATAAAATACTCTTCCTTACCTTTGGAAATGGTCGATCCTGTAGGTTGTCTTTGTTATAAGTACTTCTCAAGTTGATCGTCCACGGACCCACAGCGCGGATATGTAAGCTAAGGTTCTCCTCGTGAGGGGCTGAGGTCAGCGTGAAGGGATGGTACTCAGAGCCCCCTAGGTCCAGGCAAGCGATACGCACCCATTGACCTGACTTGTAGTTGAAGTTCACTGGCCGTTTGAACTGAAGATTGGTTACATCTGTCAGGAGAAATGATAGTTAATAAGTTCATTAGCGTTAATTAATAGATAATTACTTGATTAGTCCTAATTAAAAATGGTGGAATGCGTCTCACTGACCGACGGTTTTTTTGGACAGCCAATGCGATTTTGTATTCGTCATATGAAAATGCTCTTTGTGTACAGCCGAGCGTTCCAGGCATCCAGTATAGTGTCATTAAAACATTGAAAAAATTGCCGAAAATTTTTCGTATTTTTTTCGTTTTAGGAATTCATTCTTTTTTCGTAAAAAAGCTGTAAGAATGTACGTAGTAAAACTATCGTAGATTCAAATTTTGTTATTATTTTAGCTTAGTACGTTTTTAAAATATTTCGAGTATTTTTCGATAGTTTTAAGGTATAGCGATGTTTAATTTAATTTTCTTGCCAACCATAGCAATAACTATAACTTATTATTGTGCATCAATCAGAATTGCAGAAATGCATTGATATCTAAACATTTTCTTTATATTTTCGCCATATTTAACAGTTTTCAGTGTTAAAAGCTTGATGTTGTAGTAAAATATTTAAAGGGCATATGAGTCGAAAATTGACGGTGTTATTTTTTAGTCTAATTTGAAAGATCATTGAAAACTGTAGAGTAACTTCTTTGATAGATTTTTGTTCTCCAACCTCGTTCCTTCTTTTGCTTCGTTTTGAATATATTTCATTTTGTATTATATGCAAAGGACCAACTTCCTGCGTCACATATGCATAATGATTTAGCTGCATATCTTTAATACGACTAAACACAATCGGTAGAAAAAATACATGGGTGTTGTTGTGGACAAGTCTCGTGCTCATCATTCGTTTTGAGCGAATTTATTTGATAGTGACAAAATTATATAACATTTTAAAGTAAGTCATCATGCATGCATGTGTGACATAGAAGTTGGCCTTTGCATATCATACAAAATGAAATATCTTCAAAACGAAGCAAGAAAACAAAAATCTATCAAAGAAATTACACAGTCTTCAATGATCTTTCAAATTGACCACTTGCGTAATAGACAAAATTTTGACCTCATGCAACAAGTCTAGGCAAAAATTTCATCACAGCTTGAAAGAGCATCACAAAATTAGTAATATTCCAAAGTTTCGTTGCGAAATGTTGTAAAATGCGGATAATATATAGCCTTGCGAAGTTTGCCGTTTTTCAGTCATTTTGCATTACGCGGGGGAAATTGACAGACCAATACCACAGAATACTACACAGAAGTCCATCTCCATTGTTTTTAGCGTAAGCTCTATTCGTCATGATTCGTCACTCAGCAAGTACCGTAAACAGAAGCAGTCACCCCCCTTGAAATACTAAAAATGGCGCATGTCCAGGGGGATGACTGCTTCTGTTTACGGTACTTGCTGAGTGACGAATCATGACGAATAGAGCTTACGCAAAAAACAATGAAGATGGACTTCTGTGTAGTATTCTGTGCCAATACCCTTTGGGTCTGTGAATTTCCCGTTTGTAATCTAAATGACTGAAAAACGGCAAACTTCGCAAGGCTATATTATCCGCATTTTACAACATTTGGAATATTACTAATTTTGTGATGTGACCAACTTTGGAATATTACTAATTTTGTGATGCTCTTTCAAGCTGTAATGGAATTTTTGTCTAGACTTGTTGAGATCAAAATTTTGTCTGTTACGCAAGTTGTCAATTAGACTAAAAAAAAACACCGTCAATTTTCGAGTCATATGCCCTTTAATTAACACGCCTAGCTATTGGGCTGCTTATGGTCAGAGAAAAAAATACAAATAAAAACAAAAAAAGCACGAACCTGAAGGTAGCAGCTCGGCTTTCACCACAGGAATCTCGACTTTCTTTCTTGCCATGCTGATAAGTTTATCAATTGTGAACAACACGGCGGGGCCGATAAGAAAAACGTGAAATCCAGGCGGCTGGAGAAGGTGACCGCTGCCATGTATGATCGTGAGCGCGTACAATGCGAAGTATAGTTGATGCGTCCACCAGAAAAACTTGAAGACAACTCTACGTGAATATTGTGTGGCGAAGACATAAAGCACGGCTATAACCACGCAGAGCAACACTCCAGACAGACCTGGGAATGAAAATATGAGGGCGATTAGATCTGATGTTGAATAGGTTAAGCCCACGATTTAAGGGATCGGTCACTTATTTATGGCCGGGGGTGGCACCGAAGAGAAATGTTCTTCTTGGTAAAATGTTGCTGAAAGCTGATCCAACCATTTAAAAGTCAAACAAAAGCTTACCCAAAACTCAAATATCAATTAGAAAATAAACACCCAAAAAAATAAACACCTTGCATGTTAAAAAGTTGTTGAATTATAGGACAACATGTTGGTAGTATACCTGTGACAGTTCCCCAACAGTAATGAGTGAAGCTCGGTAGAATATGGGACCTGAAAAAGTATTTTTAATCACAGTTGAATCCAAAGCTTACTTATGAAACAAACTAACTTTATTGATACTGAAACAAACTATCTATCAGTTATAAACTGTTCATCCTAGAGGTCCAGTAAGGATCATCTCTTATTGATCCAGTGAATTACTACAGGTCCTACAGGAGGAAACCTAAACTAGACTAACTTTATTTATACTGGATACTTCTATCAGTTCTAAACTGTTCTTTCTAGAGGTCTAATAAGGACCTTATTTTCTAGCTTTATAACACGAGGAATTCGAAGTACCTAGAAAAAGTGACAGAAATTTAAACCAACCTATGAAAGTCGTTTCGGAAAAGACAGGTCAAAGCTGTAGCTGACTGAGTTGAAAAGTGATAGAAATTCATCGCATGGCCAATAGTGTGCACAACTAGATGGAAAAAAAATTGTGAGAAAAGTGTATTAGCTCTTCCCGTCCGTATTAATCATATATGAACAATTTTGACTTTAGTATTATATGCTCTGTCTAACACTAGATGATTTTAATTCTCAATGAGAAAGTTCTCGACTGTTAAACTTTACTAGCAGTCAACTATCCATACCTGTAAAGAATAGAGCCAAAAAAGCGACATATTTGTGAAAAGCGATAGCAGAGTCGAACGGAATCCAGTTCATCGCCTGAGTTTCACGTAGGAATGTGAGAGTGTTTCGACTCATTGTTAGTAATAATGTTGAGAATGTTAAAGTCATTGCCGCTGCTGCTCCGCGACTCACACTTACACCATAACCTGCTACACGGCGTAGACCTGAGAACTCTTTTAACACTGAGTATGCTGTGGAAATAAGAATAATGTTAGTTAGAGGATTGGAATTCTTATAGTATAGAGTATAGTCGTATATCGTTACTACGCTACCAAAAATTAACCATCATCATTACCACTCATCATCACCACCACTATCATCATCATCACCTTCATCATCACCATCATCATCACCATCATCATCACCAATATCACCATTATCATCACCATCATCACCATCATTACCATTATCATTATCACCACTATCATCATCATATCATTTTCATCATCATCATCACTAATATCATTATCACCATCATCATTATCACCATCACCGTCAACATTATCACCATCACCACTATCATCATCATCATCATCATATCATTTTCATCATCATCATCATCATCACCATCACCATCATCACCATCATCACCATCATCACCATTATCACCATTATCACCATTATCACCATCAACACCATCAACACCATCATCACTATTACGTCATTACCATCATTACCAACACGTTCATCGTCACCATCATTGTCACCATATCTAACCAGACTCTCATCTTACCATAGGCTTTCTCTATGAACGCTCCAATGACCAGCAGTGTATAGAAAGTGAGTATAAAAATATGCTGTCTGTGATTTTCTATGTATCGCGTCAATGTTATCCATTGTCTGATAAGATACGGTGAATAGTCAATATTGACTTTCTGTGCAAGAGTAAAATCTGTGCGACCAGGCGAAGCTGCTTCTATAGGTGGCGACGTCGCACCAAGCCTGCTGTGGGTAGAGAGTAAATAGTATTGATAAGAACTGATAGAGCTATCCAGTATAAATAAAGTTAGTACAGTAAAGGTTTCTTCCTATAGTAACACTGGATCAATAAGAGGTGATCCTTACTGGACCTCTAGGAAGAACAGTTTAGAGCTGATAGAGCTATCCAGTATAAATAAAGTTAGTACAGTATAGGTTTCCTCCTGTAGTAACACTGGATCAATAAGGGGTGACCCTTATTGGACCTGTAGGAAGAACAGTTTAGAACAGATAGAGATATCCAGTATAAATAAAGTTAGTGTAGTTTAGGTTTTCTCCTGTAGAATGCGCACTTGGAAAACCTACTGCTCTAAATGCCGTTCTTTCAACTTAAGCTGTTGCTCATAATCTAATCTAAACTATTAATTTTTATATAGCTATGTAAATAGTGTTCTAGTCCTTGCCTTTAATGTATGTCTACTTATTGTATTGTATCAGGTTGGTCTTTACATGGGACTCATGTCCTGTTGACCATACCTTCAATCATTGTTATAATTTTTGTATGATTGTAAAGTTAATAAATAAATTAATAAATAAGAGATGATCCTCACTGGCTCTCTACGAAGAACAGTTTAGAACTGATAAAGCTATCGAGTATAAATAAAGTTAGTTTAATTTAGGTTTCTCCTGTAGTAACACTGGATCGATAAGACATGATCCTTACTGGACCACCAGGAAGAACAGTCTATAATTGATAAAGCTATCCAGTATATCCAAAACTAGTATGTAAAAACATGGTCATAAATCCGCAGTACCATTACCCCACGTGTACGTCTCTAATCAAATGCAAACATGACCATGTCTATATATGAAGATAGTTGAAAGAACTAATGGTATTCTATTTTAATACCTTTCTCATACCTATCTTTTTTAACGACCGTTCCATATTTTCGCTTTCTCGTCAGAGATTCGGTGTCCATGGCGTTCTTGGCACGACCGGCGTTCTTGGCACACTTGCGTTTCGGCGACTTCGCGCATGAAGTAATCGTATCTGTCGCTCCTGGGAAAATAAAATTTCACCTAGTTACACACGATTCTAAACTAACCTAAATTAATCTTAAAATAATTATGATGGATAGCTCATTCTCCTTAGAGGTCCAGTAAGAGTCATCCTTTATTGATCCAGTGTTACTACAGGAGGAAACCTGAACTAAACTAACTTTATTTATGATGGATAGTTTTATCAGTTCTAAACTATTCTTCCTAAGAGTCATCCTTTATTGATCCAGTGTTACTACAGGAGGAAACCTAAACTAAACTTATTTCTTTTATGTTGGATGGTTCTATCAGTTCTAAACATTGAACTAAAAATAACTGGAACGCTACGTTCAAGCGGAAATTTGAAGTTAAATTCTACAAGGTCGTACACAGGCTTTAAAAGCCCGTTTTAAATTGAAAAGGCCCGTTTCCCTTTCGATTTGCATCCTGCCATGAAAACATTCAAAACGGCATGCTTCGAGCGCCCCCTGCATCGTCTCGCGAGTAAATCGCGCAGTAGAAACACGCGTGGAAGTGCGTGTCTGGGAGTCAAAACTGGCTTCATTTGGCTTCATGGGAGTCAAATTTTGGCTTCAAAATTTGCATGCGCAGTTTACTGAACGTAGCGTTCCAGTTATTTTTAGTTCAATGGTTCTAAACTGTTCTTCTTAAAGGTCCAGTAAGGATTGTCTCTTATTGATCCAGTTTCACTACAGGGTGAAACCTAAACTAACTTTATTTATACTGGATAGCTCTATCAGTTCTAAACTGTTCTTCCTAGAGGTGCTGTAAGCTTCATCTCTTAGCTTATTGATCCAGTGTCACTATAGGAGGAAACCTAAACTAAACTAACTCTATTTATACTGGATAGCTCTATCAGTTCTAAATTGTTTTCCTTAGAGGTCCAGTAAGGATCATCTCTTATTGATCCAGTTTTTCTATGAGCCAGAGTTAAAGTTGAAGCATTCTTCTCACATGTGACTGAGGTGAAATTATAGTCAGGCATATTGAATCCCAGTCACTGAGGTAAAAGACGCATACATTAATCAGTGCATCGTTAGTATTGCAGTTTCATAATAGAACGGAGATCTTGCCTTTGAAAACATTGTTCACATCAGACAGCAAGCCATCTTTTTTATCCAAGTCCATCATGATTGAACCAAAATCTTCAAAATACAGAAATTCTTTCTCCTCTCCGTCCTCTGTTTTAAACATAGAGTCGACGAGTTCGTCCAAATTTGTCGGATCCACGCTCGCACTAACAACGTCCATGAATGATCTGTAACAATAAATTGTCGCTTGCTTTAGTATTTTATAGTATATTAGTTACTGTCTGAGGACTTTATCATTGATGATTAAACTTTCTAGTGGTTAGGAACCGGTTATTATTTATGGAGGGGGGGGGCGGGGGGATGGCACCGAAGAAAAAAGGTTGGGTAAACAAAATTTTGAGTGAGTAAAAAGTTGGGTAAATGAAAAACAAAACAACAAAAGGGTTGGGTAATAAACATTTATTGTCATTTCCAAAGCATGACTTACTCAAATATTGAAGTCTAAAGAGCAATGTCAACAGTCGTATGTCGATACAATACGTAAATTAATCAGAGTCACTTTCTTGATCATTTTCCGATTTGTCAAAGAGGCAAATGGTGTCTCGAAAGAAAATGCATGTGCAGACAGAAGCAATGATCAAACTCGTACCACAGAAGTGGTATAGGACATGTGTGACAAGTGATAGCTATTTTTTTTGAAAACGTTTGGCCAGGGGTGGGTATTTATTTTTTTAATTGATATTTGAAGTTCGATAAAAAAAATTGACATTGCTGTATCAGCAAAAATTTTACCAAAGAATAAAATTTCTCGTCTGTGCCACGTACCCCCGCCATAAATAATGATCGGAATGCAAATTACGAAAGTAATCGATGAGATTTATACACGCATCAAGATAGAACATCGGTCTTGGTGTCAGCAAAATTATAAAAAGACGGACACCATGACACCATGTCTAATCTAAATTGGGCCATATTTCATATAGTTTCGACACTATATTGATACGGACGGCATCATTTAATGTTGCCCATGCAGGCGCAGGTCTACCCCATTACGCTGTTATTACAAAGCAAAACTTACCTCATCATTTTCTTAAAGGCTTCTCTGTCTAGCTTGCCCTCTCCCGTCACATCGTACATATCGAAGTAAAGCTTCAATTTATCTTCTGGTGTACCTGGTGGAAGAAAGTAGTTGAAGTTGGTGGTAGTTGGTATCTACTGTGATTACTATTACCATCATCATCATTATCATCATCATCATCATCACTATCATCACTATCATCATCACCATCATCATCACCATCACCATCATACCATTATCATAACACCATCATCGTTACCACAGTCTTACCTTTGGCGAAGATAAACATAATGTCGAGAAACTCTCTGAATGATATATAACCATTACAATCTTTGTCTGCCAGCTTGAACATTTGTTCAACAAATGGCGAAGTGGCTTGCATCCCCAAGGCTTCAGCGAATTCTGTTTGGGATAACTCGCATCCTAAGATCTCTTTAATCTCGTTCGCACTAAGCTTGAAGTTCTTGCAGTTCTCACCACAGTCCAAGTCAAATGCCTAAAAGATAGTAAGATTTAAAGAGGATATCTCGTGGAGGTCCAGTGTTGGTGTCGTCATCGTCATCGTCATCATCACCACCATCATCATCATCATCATCATCATCACCATCACCATATATCGTCATCGTCATTACCACCACCACCATCATCATCATCACCATCACCATCATCACCATCACCACCACCACCACCATCACCATCATCACCACCACCATCACCATCATCACCACCACCATCACCACCATCACCATCATCACCACCACCATCATCACCACCACCATCA